GGGGGGTGATATCCTCTCTCCGAAAATCGCGTCGCGTTCGCCGCAGCCGATTGCGCGCGTTCGCGCGCTTCGAAGGGAAAGCTTTTGGTTCTCGGTGGAAGGATACGGTAGCTGCCAGGGACCATTGACGGTTGCCGGAATTCGGGGAGAAGTACTGCCACCCATACCTCCGGTAATATTTGTCATTCAGGTGGCAGACCTTCTGCCTTTTTATAGAAAAAAATATACACACTGACTCGGGGTCTGGTATACCAGATACCTGATTAAGCGGTCGTTCAGTAAACAAAGGGAACACGAGTTCGTTTTCTGGATTGCCAGTTATCATTATTTATCGGTTGATATCATTTCGTTAGACCACTAACACTGAGTAGATTGAGGAGCGGGCCACAAAATTTTCCATTTAATTAGCACTTATCTTCGGGAATCCTTGCTCTTGAATGGGAACGATTTCAGGGTACAATGCAAGGAGTATTCCAAATGTCTGGATCGATTGCCAGAATGACTGAACCAATTCTACTCAAGTAAGTTATCTGTTATGGCCCTGAGGCTACTCTTTTGTCACTAATCTGAATGCGTTTCTCTAAATTTCAGTGTAGTCTACGCCCAATTTGGACCTCGAGGTGTATGGCTTGTGGAGATCGGACAACTACTCTTCACCCTTTCCCTTTGGCTTGTGTTTCTTAAAAGGCTCGTTCCTCTTGAGAAACGATACCCTTTGAAGGACGAAGTCGAAGAAAAAAGGGCAGAAGCCATCGCCTAAACTTATCGATGGTTTTGGCCAGCGGTCTTTGAGTTTGATCCATCCTTCGCAGATGGAGTATTAGTGAGCCGCTAGCTTTGCGATACGGGTTCTCGGGAACTGCCAGGTGCGGCCTGAAGTCACACCGCGCCGCAACCGCTCGCGTAGTAGACCGTTCACCTCAGATTTCGCCATTATAGACACAAACATTACGTGTATCGAGTTCCTTTAGGATTATGCTAGAATAATATTTATTTATTCGGTAAAGTCCAGCACTGGGTAGTTTATGGCCATTATCCTTGCAGTACCATATCATTTTGTTGTGAATGTTGTTTTCGAATAAACGATCCGACACTATCGATTGCATCGATTACTATCTTGCCGTGACTGGCATACGTATCGATCCTTTACCTCCATTTGAACTTTTTAGCTCCGAAACAGGCGATTGATGAAGAAATTGATCAAGAGTCGCGATTATCTTCTTACTTACAAGTTTTTGGGGAACAGATGCCCGATTATGCGAGGCAACTGTTCCACGAGAATTCAAAAGGTCTTTTTTTTTGTACAATGTACAGAACAGGCATGAATAGAAATTATTTATTGCTTCCCACGACTGACGGTCAACCTTCTTTTCTAGCAGGATGGATGAATCTGAAAGCAAATATGTGAATAAAAAAGTCATTTTTCTAATATGAATAGGTTCAAATCAATGCCAAGCGAGTTATGGAAGCGCAGAACCCGGAACAGCAGCGTGCGGTCGCGCAGCGGTCAGGGTTGGTTCATGGCTAGTCGATGGTGTCAATCACAAAGTGAATAGTTTTTCGAAGTGTAGGGGAGAATTTTGAAGAAAGAGAAAGCGGCTGAGGCTCCGTCTCATACGGTCAACATTGGGAGAGGAGTTCCCCATAGATATTGCAAAATGCCTGAGACGTACCATTGAACAAAGCTTTTCTGATTTGTTGATTTCAGCAAATTTGTTGAAAAGTCGTGGAACAACACCAGTCACGAAGCGATCACACTGAATAATAATACGCTTGATCACACTGAATAATAATTCGATTGATTCGCTAGAAATTGTGCTCATATCAGGAAAAAAACTGAATTCGCTCCTCTATAAGATTTCGAAAGTGCCTTTGGTTCAAAAAAATAGCCGGAAATGTTGCGATCTAATGAAGGAACTCACAGTTGTAGCCAGGATTGAAGTGTGATCGCAT